TATTTGGCCATGGTCTTTATTAAGTCCATAGAAACCATAGAACAGACATTGGTATCAGGTTCATGAGATATTGCTGTGACAGACCTAATCATACTGTTTTGGAAGTGGAAGTACTTTGGAACTTTGATCTAGGAAAGTCATTGAGTGCCCAAAGCTTAATGGGAGCTTGAAAGGTAAAAATGCTGAAAGAGATGCAGATGATGGAAGAATGGCTTTGTGCAGTTTCAGAAGGAAACAAAGACTCTCCAAGGGCTATTTGTGTGATGTTTTGTATTAAGAATCCTTGATTCTGGTCAGCTAGAGCTGAAGACTCATACGTGGTTAACAAGAGACTAGCCCTACTAAAGTAAAACCTTTGCTATACTGAAGCAAATGATGCTGGTTCTGTTGGGCTGAGAAATAGGCTTCAGGTTAAGAAGAGACCAGCATCATTTAAGAGAAATCTCCTGGTACTATTTCCTCAGGATTAAAACATACAAACTGTGGTCCAGGTTGGCCAACACTGTATCTCATGCTGGCAGCCAAAATTGGTAATGAGCTAGAGTCAGGTGGTACTGGTTTTGAGGATCTGAAGAGGTAATGGGGAGCATCTGAGGGTTGGCAATATGCGGCAGGGATAGGAGTCCCTGAAGAGAAGACAGGAGAGACCACTGGTGAAGATTCATAGTTAGTTGCAGTGGAGACTCCAAAATTTTGGAGATACCAGTACTACGGGATGACCACCAAGGACGGCAGCAACTATTGCTTGGAGCTGGCCTGAGCTTATGAGACAAACTGATTATGCTGCAAAAGACAGAGATAGATAAGGAAAAGTGCACAGGCCTTTGGAGCCCAAAAGATTTTGATCCTGTCCCAGACATCAGGCACCGAACTATTTACAGTGTTGTATCGTGAATTGGTTTTGTTCTGATTGTTACTGTGCACTTGTTCTTCCCTCTTAGAGTACAAAAATATGCAACTCATATTTTATTTTTAGGAGCCCACAGTTGAGCAGTTTTAGACTTTTACCCTTAGGTAGGTAATCCTATATGTGAGCAAACCACAATGAGCAAGCCAGTACACAGTATTCCTGTATCAGTTGCTGCCTCTGTATTTCTGCCCCGATTTTATTCACTGGGGGTTGTGACTTGAGAGACCTGAGATGAAATACACCCCTTTATTCCCAGGTTGCTTTGGGCCATGGTGTTTAATACAGAAATGGAAAATTAAGGCAGAAAACAAGGGAAAGATGGCTATCTACAATTCAAAAAAGACTGAGGTCTGAAAAATGCCTTCCCTCACAGACATGAAAAAAATAGGCAATCTTTCCCTGTACCTTAGTGTAGACCTCTAGTCTCTAGCAATTTGAGACAATAAAATGCCTGTTGTTCATATCATTCAATTTGTAATATTTCCTTGGGCCACCCCTAGAAAATTAGCGCAACTTCCATATGACAAAAATCAGCAGTTAATTTGGATTCAGGTCTGTCCAGCGCATGACCCACAGGCTGGAGAGGTTAGCAAGAAGTAGAATCCTTCCACAATATCTTTTCCCCAGAAAGAAGATAGGGTAGCCTAAAAAGAATCATAGTTTTCAGGGCTTAGGACAAGGGTGTTTGATGTGGTGGTTTGAATGAGAATGGCCCCAGAGGCTCAAGTATTTGAATACTTGGACCGCAGGTGGTAGAATTGTTTGGGAAGATTAGGAGGTATGGCCTTGTTGGAGGAGGTGTGTCATCTGGAACTAGCTTTGAGGTTTCAAAAGCCTATACTGTACCCAGTTCTCTCTCTGTCTCTCTGTCTCTGTCTCTCTGTCTCTACCACCATACCCACCCTCCCCCCTCTCTCTCTCTCTCTCTCTCTCTCTCTCTCTCTCTCTCTCTCTCTCTCTCTCTCTCTCTCTCTCTCTGCTTCCTACTTGCAGATGAGGATGTAAGCTCTCAGTTACTGATGCCTTAGAATCATGCCTGCCTCCCAACACTGGAGAAGAAGAAATAGGTGGGTCTCTGAAAGTTTGAAATCAACTTGCTTTACACGGCAAGTTCCAGGCAAGCCATGGTTACATAGTGAGACTCTCAAAAAAAAAAAAAAAAAAAAAACAGTCAAAATGAATACCTTGGAATACATCTAACCAAAGAAGTAAAAATTGTCTATATTAAAAACTTTGTAACACTAAAGGAATAAAGCAAGACAATACAAGATAAAAATGCCTCCCATAATTATGGACTGGAAAAAAATAATATTGTGAAAATGGTTGCAGTACTCAAGGCAATCTACAGACACAATGCAATCCCCATTTAATTCCAATGCTTTCTTCAAAAAATTTTTTTTAAAAATCTTAAAATTCATGTGGAGGCATACCCACAAAATACCAACAATAAATACTTTGGATAGCAAAGGAAATCTGAGCAAAAAAAATTATCCTTGGTTGCATGTCAAACTGCACAGGTAAAATTAGAAAACATCATAGAGCTGTCACAAAGCAGAAACACAAATCAGCAGAATAGAGAAGCCAAATATAAGCCCATGTAACCATAGCCACCAGATACCTGACAATAATTTCAAAAACATACATTTTAGAAAAGTCTCTTCAAAAAATGTTGCTAGTAAAACAGAATAGCCACATGTAGAAGAATGAAATTGTATCCCTATCATCTCTTACCTAGCACAAAAACAACCAAATTAACCTAAGTCCTAAACCTAAACTGCTGGAACTGTCAGTTCGAATAGTATGGAAAACACCTGAAGGCATAGGTATATGGGAGGACTTTCTAAAATTAGATTGCGGTTGCTCAGTAAATAATACCAACAATTGGCAAATAAGACCTCATGAAATTCCAAAGCACTGAACAGAAAGGAAACAGTTGAATGAGTGAAACGACAGGGTACAGAATGGAAGAAGATTTCTATTAGTTGGATATCTGACAAGATTAAAGTTTAGAATATAAAAGAACTTATAAAAGAACTAAACCATGAGAAATCAAACAATTCAATTAATGAACGAATGAACAGTTCTCAACAAATGAAATATAGTTAATAAACAAATACAAACTCGCTAGTCATCAAAGAACTACAAATTAAAACTACATTGAGATTCCTTCTCATCCCAGTCCCAAAAGCAGTCATTAAGAAAACAGAAAAAGAACCAAAGAACCAGGAAATCTTGGTGCATGCCTTTAATTCCAGCACTCTGGATGGCAGAGGCAGCGAGGTATCTGTGAGTTCTAGGCCACTCTGGTCTACAGAGTGAGTTCCAGCACAGTAAGGGCCATTACACAGAGAAACCCTGTCTGAAAACAAAACCAGAAAGAGAGAGAGAGAGAGAGATGGAGAGAGAGAGAGACGGAGAGAGAGATGGAAGGAGGGAGGGAAGGAGGGCGGGAGGGAGGGAGGAAGGAAAGAAGAGAGAGAGAGAGAGAGAGAGAGATGGAGAGAGAGAGAGACGGAGAGAGAGATGGAAGGAGGGAGGGAAGGAGGGCGGGAGGGAGGGGGGGAGGAGAGAAGGAGGGAAGGGAGGAAGGAAGGAAGGAAGGAAGGAAGGAAGGAAGGAAGGAAGGAAGGAAGGAAGGAAAAGTAAACAAAAAAAGAAAGAAACCCTTACACACTTCTGGTTAAAAAGTAAACTTGTCACTATGGAAATCAGTATGGGGGTTCTTCAAGAAAAACAATCCTGAGTATTTATTGAAACAACTCCAAGTCAACCTATTACAAACATTCCTCCATATCTATGTTTTATCACAGCATTACTCTTAGGAGCTAAGTTGTGGAACTAACCTGTGTTCAAGAGAGTGTTACATAAGGAAAACCTTATTTATATAAAGAAGGAATTCTTTTCTGCCATAAAGAAGAACAAGCTTGTGGCATTTGCAGGAAAATACATAAAACTGGAGATAATCACATTAATCAAACTAAGCCAGAAATGCAAATATCACACGCTTTCATCCATTTATCATTCTTAAATTTGTATAGAAATATATAAAATCGTGTGTGTGTGTGTGTGTGTGTGTGTGTGTGTGTGTGTGTGTGTGTATGTGTGTATGTGTGTATGTGTATGACCTGAAAATATAAGTAAAAGTGTCCTGGAGAATAAATGAGAAAGGCAGAATAAGAAAGAAGAGAGTAAGGGAATATGGGGCAAATATTCTCAATGTACAACAGTATATACTTACATGAAATCATCTTTACAAAATACTGTGCCACATGTAATGTATACATACAAGAATTTGAAAAAAATGAAAAATAAATTTTAAAAGGAAAAAACTTATAAAGACAACTAGAGAACACCCTAAAATGAATTTTAAAATATATTCAAATTGATGAGATGCTATAGACACATTTATCGCTATAGATATCCACATTAAGCTCAAAGAAAGATATAAAGGAATAGTTCAGGTCTGATTTGACTATCACCTAACACTTCATACATGCTTACTTATGAATTTACTTCATATTGTAAAGTAGTAAAATTATACAGATTTGATCCAGCTATATTTAGAGATATGGCTTTGAGGAAGTTATTAGGGTCGAACACTAGAAAAATGAGTCCTCTGGTTTTATGAGCATACACATACACACACACACACACACACACACACACACATTCATTTTCTGTCTGTGATGGTTTCTCAAAATTCAAAGTCCTTGCTGAATGGGGTTCTCAAATCTTATACTTGTAGAACTGTGAGCCAAACAAACCTCTCTTATTTATTAAAGTAGACTATCTCTGGTATTTCCTTATAGTAATCAAAAGTTACATATTGGTACACACAAACAACCTAACTTACACTCTAAGGTATTTGGAAAGTTACATTAGTCATGTTGTATACAAGGTATTTTTAACTGGACTACAGGAACTACTCAAAAGGTAAACCTGTCTTCCACTCCAATTCACCAGTTAATTCCCTCTACCTTTCATTGAACCACACTCCCAGACCAAGAATATAAGGTGTTTAAAGCAATAAACTAGAAGAGTAAAGTAGGACTGAAAAGCCTTTGTCCCTTCACTAAGTGTTCCAACTCACCAGGCTCAGCAGCCTGTGGCCAGCCAGTACTAGATTCTAGAACTCCATGGGCATGTATGGAATAAGGTCGACTGGCATTATTCTTGAACACCACAGTTAAGATATCACCAACCTCTCCTCATATAAGTGGACCTGATAAATGAAAAAAAAAAAAAAACACGAGTTTCATTAGCAGGGGAGTGAAATGGGAGACATTAAAGAATAAGGCACAACTGCAAGATCCATAGAATTGGGAATTAATCTTCCCAAGACTAAAAGACATGCCAAGTACCATTTTCAGATTCAGAAGTCCTAAAATTGGTATTGTTGCTCACAACATGGGGGTTCCTCAAAAATGGAAATATGCTTCCTATTATCCCTACTTTCCTCATCCTGTTTTTCTCTACATAATAACCAAGAGCTCTAGACATACTGAATTTTGTAGACTCGTTGATAGGAAGGACTGAAATATTGCCATATATAGCACATAGAATAGCTGTATTCTCTTTAGAGGCCAGTGGGTTCTGTTTGGTCTAGGATGAGAATAAAGAAACCCATTATACAAAAATAGCATATAGCCTTGATTAAACTGAAGTATGGGGGTAATTGTGGCTTTGTGTATACTTTTTCTTTTTTCTTGCTAGAATCCCTAAATTCTCTTGCCTCTGGAGTCTTTTAAAATCTACTACCTTCAGAGGATCCATATCTCAAAGGTGTAGAAAATCGAAACAATTTGGTCCATGTTATTGCAGAATTCATGTTTCTGCTTTCCCTTAAGTGCTTATATTCATGTCTACTTCATAAAATAGGACCATACTTTTAATAGCCCACATGGAATATCTGAGAATGAGGGATGGGAAAGCAAGCCTCCCTGATACAATATGGCTGTCCAGGATGTAAGTAGAATTCCCTTACCCAGGATTCCCAAGTGCTCCTCCGGTCCAGACCTCGGCTGAGGAATCCTGAAAGTACCATCAGTGTATTCCCTGAATACAGCTTTCTTATATCTGGATCCCAGGAGCCCATCCTTGTTGCTCAGGAAAACATGACCATAACTAGAAGAATCCAAAGACTGTTATTAACACCTGACCTTCAACCTTTATTTTCAGGTATAAGGAAATTAATTTAGAACTATTCTCATGTCAAATATGAAAAATGTAGCTCTATCCATTATAATGTCAAATTGCATTACCATGATTGAAAATAGCAAGTTTGTGAAGCTACTTTAGTTATTTTCCTTCATCCAGATAGATATTTTCAGTATGCCTAACTGAGCTAAGAATAAAAAACCTGTGGCTTTGGTTCCAGCCTTAATAGAGACTTAGATTTGGAATTATATTAACAAAAGGGCAAGACACAACATGTCAGCTGAACACCCATAGTTGCTGTTGAAGACCAAAAGTGGGAACACATACTTCTCATTAAAGGATTCTTAACAGTTGACAGTGTTTATCATTCATTTTTACAGTGAACACTCCAAATAGGTGGGTCTCAAAGGTACAATCACTAGCCCAGAATTGACAGGATTATGGACAGAAAGACTATCACCCAGAAGGCAGCCAGGACTTAGAGTTAAATCCACTGTTCCTACCCTTATTCTCCAGTAATGTTGTTTCAGCTATGCATAATAGAAGAAATCAGGGTTAACAGGAAAAACTTCACATTTTCTCACTCCCACAAAATGTTTGCATGAAGACTTCAACCTAAACTTATATTGGTCAAGAACTGACAAAAGATACTGAAAGCACCACAAACTAGAGAAAACTACTATTAGTAATACTTTGTACCTCAGATTGTATTCACTCCTCCCTCTCTTTAGTAATAGAACCACCTAGGTTTTATTGGGACACATGGCTATTCACACAGATGTTACACGTAGTCATATGAATAAGCTTAGGAAATAGAACATGAGAAAAATCGATATATAAATTGTACAGGTCTACCCTTACAGGCAATGTTGTTTACCCTAATTTGAAAGCTGGGGATAGGCACAACTCAAATAAGCACCTGGGTCCCAGAGATGAAAGTACAAGATGAGGGCAGCTTGGCTCACCTACCAGCCCTGGACTGTTCATATGTAAATAACAGATAAAATTGTAGCCTATTTAAACTACTCTCTTTTGGAATTTTCCTGTTTCCCAGCTTGGTCTGTACCATAATAAATGACCTTGAGGCATTTCATTGTTTGAGTAAATGCCTAGGAACTTTAAATACCACTGTAGGTACGTTTTAGCTAATTAGAGGGGAAGCAAGGCTAAGAGGGCAAGAATGTAGGCAGGTCTTTCCTTCAGTTCAATGGCTAATGAATGGAGAAGAAACCTCAAGATCCCTCTCATTCTAGACTCATATTGGCATCATAATGGGTGGTTATAAAAAAATGCCTCCTACTCGTAGTTTCAGCATCTTCACCTGTGAAATGATTTGCTAAAGCTGTTATCTTTCCTTTTCTGAAGCCTTACCTGTCCTTCTCAGATGTGTTGTGCCATTCCAGTTCCCAGCTTCTATCAGGGCAATAATCCCACTCCACCTCTTCGGCCATGATGTAGTAGACTCTTGAAGCCTGGTAGTGTTGTCGTGGGCTGTCTTGACGACCAGAACACTGGGAGACATTATAAACTGCCCTCATCCCTGCTTCTCTGTGTCTGCCTGCTTGGCAATAGATTTCAAATGTCCCTAAAAGACAATTGGAGAACAAAATCTGAGTGAGAATACCCATCGAAGCACGTGGGGATGTCTTCCCTTTTCCTAGTTATACTTCAGAGGAAAAATAGTTCATGAAAAAGCTCTTACACATATTCAAGTGCATTACAATTTGTTGAGACTACCTATGGGCATTGATGGCATATGCCTTTAATCCCAGCACTCAGGAGACAGAGACGGGTGTAACCCTGTGAGCTTGAGACCAGCCTGGTCTACAGAGCAAGTTCCAGGACAGGACAGGCTCCAAAACAATACATAGAAACCCTGTCTGGAAAAACAAAAAAAAATTGTTGATACTAAAGAGCACAGAAGAGGTCCAGTTCCAAAGCCACTGTGTTAATCATTAAAGTTTTGCAGGAGAATAAAGTACTCCTCCAGGGTTGCCATATCCTTGGAAGCCCTTGTTCTTAGATAGTTGGTAACCCTATTTGTTACTTACTAGCTATCTAAGCTTGTACCAGTTTCCAATACTCTGTATGTTTCAGTTCCCTCTTCAGTAAATTGAGAATCATTTTTGCTTACTTCATTTGGCTGTGTTACAAACAAATATTATATGGCTGGCAGGACTGCTTAGCAAGTCAAAGTATTTGCCCCAGGAGTCTGGCAATCTGAGCTCTATCCTTGAACCCACAGTGAGAGTAAAAACCCCACTTCTAAAAGTTGTACTCTAATTTCCATATGTGTCATATCATAAATACCACCACACTCACCCATTCCTATCATATGCATATACATGGCCAATAGTAAATAATCAAGAAGGAAATACAATATATATCACTATGTCTAACAAATGTTCAGTACGTGAAATTATAAGTAAGCAGTAAATAATACAGCTTAATAATTATCATTTGATAGAAACACTGATCTCTTTTTTTCCTATGAAATACCCCCCAAATAGAAAACCCTACTAACAACAACAAACAAACAAATCATATGGATTTAAATAGATGTTTAAAAGAAACTGTCTGATCACATGGATGCTTACATAATAGATCATCTTTTTCTCTTTATTCCTTCCTTCCTTTCTTTTTCTTTCTTTCCTTCTCTCTTTTTTGAGATAGGGTTTCCCTATGTAACCCCATGTAACCCTAGCTGTCCTAAAACTTGCTTTGTAGACCAAGCTGGCCTCAAACTCAGAGGTTCACCTGCCTCTGCTTCCCAAGTGCTGGGATCAACGGTGTGTGTCACCACACTTCGCATACATGATAGATCTTTTAAAGGTGATATTCTAGGTTTTATACTAGGAAATATTCAGACATCTATCTTGGATATCTGTCCATATCTACATGGACCTGTCTCCAGCCACAGGTTTCTGTGTCACAAACTCTAGCTCAGATTATGCTAATCAAATGGAGCTAACTATGTTACATTTATTGTTTCCATTCTTCCCTTACCTTGTGGCCTATTGCCTACCCTACCACTACAAACATTTCATCAATTTCAAAGCCTCTTATGAACTGTCCCTATACTATAATCCAGCCCTTTTCCCCACTCAATTATTTTGCCAACTAAATCTTTTTATCTGACTGCCTCCTTGCATATCTCATTCCTGCCTTGCATTTTTCACTCATGATGTTATTCCTGTCTGACATATATGTTCATCCAACTCTCAAACTCTATGAGAGCCCACTCCTTCTCCAAGACACAATTCATAGTTTAACTCCTTCAGAAATCCCTCCCAGATGGCTTGGGCCCTAATTGACACTATACTCTTGACCTTTCCATTATTATGTGTTCCATACTTAATGGCATGGTAAGAGACTGAAATGTTCTATATTTAAAACTAGCACCTTACATTTTTGATAGACATCTTGAAAGAAAGGGTCTTCTCATTTCTTTTCATATCTGCTTCCCAGATCTTCTATCTTCATCATTCTCTGTATCTAATCCATCAGTAAATCCTATCACGTCTTCCTTTAACAATCACTCTTTTACTCCATTCCTATTGGGGTCTACCTCTTGGTGCAAACCCAGCATAGCCCTTTCACACCGGCCTTCTCAGTCTATCTCTATTCATTTGTGTTACCCACTGGCCGAAAGAAGCACTCTTTTCCAGTGACCCCACAGCCTACTTCTGTTAGAAATAGAGAGGGCAACAGCAACCAAAGAAAAAAACACCCACCCCAAAAAGACAAGACCAGATATGGACTCCAAGAAACTCCTCAAACATCATAATTCTAGATGTCTCAATCCCAGTGCAAAATTTCAACACGAGGCCAGGCAGCTATGGTGCATGATTCTAATCCAAGCACTCAGAAGGCAGAGGTGGGCTGATCTCTGGAGTTTGAGGCCAGCGTGGTCTACAGAGTGAGTTCCAAGACAGTTAGAGCTATACAGAAAACCCTTGTCTTGGAAAAAGAAATTGAAAAAGGAACAGACAAGAAAATATGCCTCCACCAGAATCCAGTATCCTTACTGCAGAAAGCACTGTAGAATGTAATATAGCTGAAGCACAAGACAAGGACTTCAAAATAGCAATTATGAATATGTTCAAGGACATTAAAGAGGATATGAATGAATCATTTAATGAAGCCCATGGGGGAAAACCACTTGAAGGAAATAATAAAAGTGATACAAGAAATGGTAGTGGAATTTAACAAAATAGAATAATTAAAGGAAATTCAAACTGAAATAAAACTGGAAATGGAAAATTTAGGAGGACACACAAAAACCTCAGAAGACTCATCAATAGATTATATGACATGGGGAAGAGAATCTATAACCTTATAATCATATAAAACATACCTTAGCCTACTGCACTTCAATGCCTGTTTTCTCTCTATATATATCTTTCTTTTAAAATAGTCACCTTACATAGCCAAGGCTAGCTTTGAACTCACTATGTAGCAGAAGCTGAATTCAAATTTGTCATCCTTCTGTCTCCATCTCCACAGTTCTGAGAATATATGCATGAATCACCATGCTTAGCTATACTGAACTTTTATTGACTCTTGAACAAGTAATGTTTGTTCTCACTCTCTGCTCAGAAATCTTGACATTGTTCCTTTTCTCACCATTTAGGGTTCAGGTTATGGATCACATTTTTCAGAGAGTATTTCTCTTGGATACATTTATTTAAAATAACATTATCATCATTTTATCATATCACTGTCTTTTGCTTTCTAACTTGTATCAGTATCTGAATTTATTTATGTATATTAAGAATATTCTGTGAGAAAACCTCCTATCTAGGACACATATGATGGTGCATGTCTGGAATTCTAGCACTTGCACAGCAGAGACTATTCAATGATTGTCTGGGATACACAGCAAGCTTCACACAGCTGTATAGCAACATCATGTATCAAAACACAAAAGTTTGCATACTCAAAAAGATGGTTATGTGTTGTTTGAAATTTTCCTCTGTCTTGCCCATTTTCACAGGACAAGTTTTTCTCCCGCCCAAGGGCCCCATAGCCAATTATGAAATCATTACACCAAAGCTAATATTAAGTGGTAATTGTTTGGTCAATGGCTCAGGCTATTTACTGTCTAGCTCTACCTATAAATTAATCCATTTGTATTTATTCTGTGTATTGCCATGAGACTATGGTTTACTGGTAATTCTCCAGCATGTTACTCCTTCAGCAGCTACATGGCATCTCTCTGACTCCGCCTTCCTTCTTTCTGCATCTTTCCTTGGATTTTCCCCCAGCTATATTTTTCCCGGCTGTTGGCTGAAACAGCTTTATTTATCAACCAATAAAAGCAAAACATAATCACAGCATACAGAAGACCATCCCATATCAGTTATGCATCTTATTTAATCCACTATCACAATCTTAACAGTAAAAAGTGTTCAACTAATAGGGGTTTAATGACTAAATTAATAAGCAAATGGAGTGATTGATGCACACTGCCCAAAAGCCAGGATAGTAAGGTGGTTTAGAAGGTCCTGGCACTTGCTGCCAAGCCTGACAGTCTGAGATTTCTTGTAGACCTCACCTGATGAAAGGAGAAAATCAACTCCACAAAGTTGTCATCTTGCCTCCAATCAAGTGCTCTGGCATGCACACCCCCATAAATTAATTAATTAAATTAAAATGGAAATATCAAAGTTATGTTATGGGTCAGAATCTAGTATTTTGTTTAAAAAAAAAGTCTGATAAACACTTGATGTTATGGAAGCAAATAGAAGGCATTTAGGAAGTGTCATATGATGTTGCATAAATTTTCTCGTATCAATGCTGTTTTTTAAACCACTTCTTTTTCAATACTCTTCTGTTTCAGGTTATTAATATTGAACATCACAATATTAACACTCCAAATCATTGTTACAACTACAACATCACCACAGGTATAAATACCTTTTACTACACCATATGCAGTAAAGGAACAAATCATTGGAGTCAGCTTTCTCTAGTCAAGGTTTTGCTTCTCGATGTCTCTATAGTGATCTTTTCACCTCTGTCAGACTACAGGTATAAATCCTCAGTCAGGGTGTCTGCATTCTTAGAAAACCTTTACTGTGTAAGTTAGAAAAACTTCATCAAAGTTTCCTCCCTGCCATAGTTCTTGGCAGATAGTGCCATTATGAACTTGGCAATATCTACATACTTACTCCCTTTCCCCACTATCTTTAAACTGCCTGATTCACCCTCACATCTCCAGCACATAACACAAGAAGTGAAAGACAACAGATACTAACTGAAAAAGTTTAATAGAAAATACAAAATAAGGAATGGGAAATTAAAAAGAGGAAAAAGATAGAGGGAAGAAAAGCTACAGAATGGAAAGAGACAAATGGAAAGCAAGTAGGAAGAAAGCTAATGGAACAGAAATAAAGATAAATAGTAATAAAGATAGGCAGGTGAAACAGCTCAGTGTGTAAAATCACTTGTTGCCAAGTCTGAAGCTGCATCCCTGGGATACACATGGTAGAAGGACAGAATCAACTCCCACAAAATGCCTTCTGACCTGCACAGGCATACATGAGTGCACAAGCACGCATGCACATGCATGCGCGCGCGCGC